GCTTTTCCAAAACCATTTTTCCCCCAAAAGATTGAACTGTTAATATGGAATAGGCCAAGCCCATAGAAACAAAGAAAGATGGAAAGGCCACAGTTGACCAGGGCCAAGGAGGCCAAACCAAATGCTCTGTGGGTCCCTGGCTGGAGCCCTCGCCCAGAACAGACATCAGTAGGATGGCCAGAGGAAATCAAACCAAGTCTGAAAGTGAGTTAGTAGTACTGGGGCTTCATTCATTTCTTGGTGCCAATCATTACACTATGGTTATGTAAGGTGTTAGCCTGAGGAAAGCTGGGTTTAGGATATATGGCAACTCTCTGTGCTAGGTCTGCAAATTTTCTGTAAAATGAATTCAAAATCGTTAATAATAACATGAGGAGGGAGAAGATGATGCCTCCTTCCTTTTATTTTGGGGCAGGTGAGAGAAGGATTGATTTCAGGGAGTCTGTTTCTCAGCATGTTCCTCTATAATTCTCCCTTATTAGAAATTAAATAGAAACCAAGTCACTTATCAATTAAGTGACAAGTTGGGTAAACACTGAATATTTTAATTGATCCTTCAAGGGTCCTCTGAAGCTTACTCAGCTTTACCCATTTCTCAGAAGATTTGTTTTAACTTCAGCCAATCACTGATTAGACTGATTTAATAGTGAAATTGTGCCGGGTTAATGAGAACAAAATACACTAAGATTACAGAACCGTCTTCCCACAGTTTCCCTTGTAAACTTGCCTTGATCTGGGCAAAAGAGTCTTGCATTATGCTGGTTAATGAAAAATAGAGCTTATGCCTTAAAAAAAATCAAAAAGTAACAGATTTTTCTCTTGAAGTAATAAGGCAGGCCTAATCCAAATTTGAAGAAGCATTCTTGCATTTATTATGGCTGATCTTTTCCAGCAAGGGCGATCACACCACCTGTTTGTTTCACTTGTGTTATTTCTGTAGTGTTCTTCCATGTATTCTGCATGCCCCTCTAAGCATGAAGATAATGAGATAGACAGTAGGTGGGCAGTAGGGGATTTCCACGTGGAGGTGAGCAGCTGAACAAATGCCCCAGGGATACAAAGGCACATGAACATAAAGACAGGTATAGGTTCCCGGGGGCAAACTGAACAGGGGTGGGGAAACTGGTGGGGAGGAAGCCAGGAGAGAGCCAACCAGGCAGCTGTGGACAGCCTGGAAAGGGACGCTGAGGCTTCCAGGCTCTGTCTTGAGAAGCTGACCCTCAGTCACAGAAGTTAAGACATGGATGTATCTAAATATGTGTTGCGAAACATGTTCAATGCATTTATTTTTATTTCCTTTTCCCTTTTCTTCTCTATCCTCCACAAACTCCCTGTTGCAGAAGGGGTTGGCCTCATGGTTCTTTTGTGATATAAGCGCATATTTTAAAGAGAGTAAATGTTCCCACAGTGTTCCCAGCCAAGACTCTATAACCTTAATCCTATTAACCATCAGGTCTTAATTTAGAAACCATAGAGGGAGAACACGGAAATCAAATCAAATTTCTTTCTTCTTGATATTTTTGGAGGTACAAGTTATATAGGCTATGCCATCAAATCTCTTCAGAAAAAATTACACTTGGCTAGCTTCACCACTGCACAATTCCTTTCTAATTGCAGGAAAAATAATGACTAGACCATGCTATAAAGCGACTAGAAATGGCAACTCTCTATTAAAGAAGGGATTGATAGAAAGCCAACCTGCATAAAATTAGAACCTGACTAATAAAAAAAAAATGCCAGTCTCATCTAATGTACATATGGCCTATGAGGTTTAAATTACGAATCTACTGTATGTTTAATACACAGATAATTTTGGCACATGACATCATCCCCTATATTTAGACTGCCTCCGTCGTTGCCATGGCAACCCTGACTTAAAACACAGCTGAGTAGGTAATTTCACTCCAAATTGAATGAAAATAAGGCTACTTCTATTGTGGTTCTTAACAATTTTCTGAGTAGCTTCTTCTTAGAGTGCCCTTGCTTACATGTCCTGTTTTTAAAAATAGATTATCAGGAAATATTTTTGTGTGTCTGCACTGACTCCACTCACAGCCACACACCACCCTCCTGGCTCTGTGGAATGTGGGAGAGGTCACGCCTCCCACAGTGCTCCTTGGAGCTGTCCATGCAACTCTGGAATGGGCAAACCTTTTCAATATGTACCAATTTGGGTCATTTAATATTTTAGAGACTGTCATGCTAAAATAATAATCTTTTTAAGGTAAGTCATACACGCATTTTTATAGGCCTATAATTATTCACTTGAGCTTCATGTAATTCTGTTTTCTGTTTTAAATGTGCTCCTGTAGATTTCCATAGTTATTTAGGAGAACCATCTCTTTCTTTTCAGCTTCCACTGAAGAGTCATTGAAAGCTGAGAGTTGCACTTAAAGGTAGCCCTTATGGCTGTGTCAAGATATTTCTTTCCACTATTATGATAAACACCAAATGTCACACACACACAAAACCCTCTGTTGACCCAGCACATGTGCCAAATTGCTTTTTCATCTCCATCACGACAGTGACCTGTTCGAGGCTTCATAATCCAGCCTGCAGTCCTGTAACAGAGAAACGGTACTTCTCTGACAGGGCACTGAAGCTCAGACCTGGACTGCACTGACCGAGGGGCTATCCAGACAGAGCAGAACATGTCCCAGAGTCAGAGACCTTGAACCTGAGCTCGGAAAGGGTTCCATCGGCTTTGCCATCTGCACATCTGAGAGTTATTTTTAAATCTACACATCTCAACCCACACATATCTCAGGTGTACTTTTAAATCTATAATAATAGATAACATAATAATGGTAGATAACAGTGATGATAGTGACTCCGCAGAGATTTTGCACCAAGCAAACAGGACAGCATAAGTCATCCTAAGGACACAAGTGTAAATATAACTCTATCCCTGGCTGATCATGGCTATTTGAAGAGAGCAGCTAAACTAACAGGCAACAGAGTTGATCAGTCATGAAAGCACACAGGGTCAGAGTTCCCACTGAGAACTTTTCCACCAACTTTCCTGGCAAATAGCCAGAGAGATTCCAGAGACCTAGAAGACGTCTCTCATTCTGGATCCAGGCACCAAGAAGACGGGGGCAATCCCCCTGGCTAGCCGTGCTCGTATGCTCTCTGTGACAAGGATGATCAACTCTTGACATAAAGTGCTACAGAACACACTTGTCATCACAGTCATGATCTGCACAGTCTGACATAAACTCAGTTTGTTTGGCAAAAGCTGCCACTGGCCATGGGTTCTAGAATCACGAACAAATCGTCCTCACTTTCTCTCTCTCTCCCAGCCTGACATTTTACCAGTGAGGCCCCCAGTCAATGCCCAACACATCTAGACTCTCCGAAAAACAGGACCATTAACATGAAGCATATAAATTCTGAGAATCACTCCCTATGTATTTTATACTTCAATAATTTTCTGAACTTTTAAAGCTAAAAAGTGTTTAGATTACTCGAATATCTTTAAATGATTAGCAGAGAACAGGCACTCAACAGATGTTTGATAAATTCATTTTTAAAATATTTTTTAACCACAGCCTCTCTTCTGACAAATAGACCCATCTAAGGTCACAAGGCCTTCTTTTGGCAGAACCTGTGGTAGAATCTAGGTTCTCCAGCTCTCAGCTCAGCATTTGTTTCCATGAACTCTGCTGTTAGACATAGTGAGATAGGTACTAGTTTGAACAAATTCCTGAGCGTTTCAAGTTAAAATTGCAGAACATACATTAGGCAGATGTGTCTTGGATAATCCAAAAGTGTCATTCAGCAGGAATACAATGGAACACAATTGCCACTGAGGAAGAATCTGTTTAGTGTTTTCCTGCCTCTTATTTGGAATAACAGTTAACGCAAGCACAGTAAACCCAGCAAGAAAAGGACTTCTCTGTCAATAGGAGCCCTCCACATTGAGCCGCATGTTTTGGGAAACAATGTACAGTCCAATTCAATTCCAATAATGGGTTTAAAACAGGTGGTCATATTTACAATATGCTTCATGTTTGACATTTTTATCCTTTAGCCTTTGCACTGAAATGCAAACTGTAACGTGCGGACATGTTCACAGTCACTCATTCCGTGTTCTCTTCTTCCTACACATAGATGGCCAAGATTTTCTGTCTCTACTTGAGTTTCACCACACATACACTTGTTAGTCACATTTCAAGATCTAAAACAGACAACTGAAGCAGTTTTGAAGTGTTCAGAATTTAAACAATAGAAAGAACCACAACAACACAATTTAACATGCAACAAATGACTCAGTTTGAGAAAGAATTTAAGGCTTTACCCAGCTATGCTTTTAATTCTCTCTTTCAAATGGCACTTATGGACACAAACAAAACTGTTCTCACAATCACGACCATCACACCAAAAGAGGCTGTACTTCATAAGATCTTGCTTTCCTTTGCCTCCACTAGGGTACACGCCAGACAACTGACCATCCTGTGATTAATTGTATATGTAGATCGGACTTGGTTCTGTGTTAAGTGGATTTGCCTTTGAAGATCTTGTAGCCACAGGCACTTCCCATACCTGGCTACTCGGTGTGGTACGCAGCCTTCATGAAGAAAAAGAAACGTACAATCCCAGGTCTGCAGCAGTCTCTCTATGCTCGGTAACGTGAGATGAAAGAGAATACACAATCTAAAACTATCTGTTCACAGTGAAAAAGCTCCAGACCAAACCCAAAACTAACTCGCCTTACTTAGTTACCTTAAAAGGATCCAAAAAAACAAAAGAGCACTATAAGTTCAAGCACACAGATCACTTCCCAAACTCCAAGCACCAGCACAAAGACAGCTTAGAAACTTTGAAATGAGTCACACTAAAGGTAACTTTTTCAGAGCCAAAAAAGCAAGGCATAAAAGGGACACTCATGCTTGTCAATGAGCAACCAGAGACGAGCAATTCTCGAAGCTCAAAGCTCGTTGGGGGACAGCGGGGAAAACACACCTGCACCCCGTGTGCCATCTCTTCCCAGGACTTACCATATGGATGGAGCTTCTGTGCCGCTGATCTCTAAGAAATCGTATCCTTCTTCCAGCTGAAAGTCAGTGAAGACCAGAGCAATGGTGTCCCCGGGCTCTGCGAGGATGGTCCAGATACAGTCAGCATTGTTCTCGTACTCGGAAGGGAAGTGCGGGCTGGAGATGGAGCTGCTGGTCCCACGTAAGGTTCCTCCGCAGGCTCCCTCAGCTGCAGGGACAGAAGCAGAAGGAAGGCATCACGTCTCAGGGTGGTTTTCATACACAAGTGTGTCCACAAAGTGTCACTCTTGATCAGCAACAAATATTTTCTGAACCCCAAATTGAGACACTCCATCCGAAAAAGAATCTCTTTTGATATGTTAATGAGTTCTATGAAAAGCTTACAAAACTCCACCATTTAAATTGTATTACTAATTGAATGGCCATTGTGGGAAAGATGGAAATAGTGGCTTTTCAAAAATGTGGAATGTGTAGTTGCCATGTACTTGACATTGACAGGCAGCCTGACAAGATTTTCAAAGATTTTCTCTGAATCCCGGAAGATGGAGCTTTGTAAGCTATGTTTTCAGACTTAAAAACAGGTGGCCATTTTTTATTAATTCATGGATACCTGTCTTTGAGAATACTGTTCTCCCTTAAAAGAAATGGTTGCCCTAATTTTATTTTCTATAGAGTTGGCATTAGTTTGGGTTTTGAATTTCAGATAGCTCTTGAGCAGCAAAAAAGAGGCACATCACCTCCTGAAATGGTTCTTAGTAGAAAATGGGTGCATGAGACATAAAATGGAATATATTGGAAAAGTGAGAAGTGACAGGCCAGTAAAGATAAAAGTGCATATAAAATACAAACTGACATTGTAAAAATTATTGGGTAGAAGAGAAATAGATCTTGCAAAGTTTCCTACAGAGTAAAAAAGTTTGTTACATTTATATCATCTATTACAAAATATTAGGTACATATCATGTACAAATTAAACTATATGTGTGTATAGATGTATGAAAAAGAAGCATTTTAAAATAACCTTTTAAAGCATCTTTAAAAATTTGTTCTTCCCTCCTTTCTTTTCTTTTTTCCTCTTCTTCTTTCTTTCCTCAAATGCTGCCTATCCAGAATGTGTATTTAACAGTCGTCGATTCTGATACTGCAGTGTGGATGGTATGTAAAAGTAGGCCTGTTTCCAAGAGCGGGGCGTTTGCCTTAGGCAGAGCTTGTGTGACCAGCCCTGAGCTCTCACAAAGTGCATATAACTGACCATACACCCCCTCTCTCCACCAAAATTATGGCAAAGTGGGAGGAACTGACATCCTTTTATTGATGCTTCTCAAGTTGCAAGTTCCAGTATTTCATCTTTCAGGGACGTGTTTTCATTTTGGCATGACCTAAGCATCACAAAAATGTTGAAAATGACCACACCTTGTCGGCAACAGTGAGGAGGTGATACAGGTCCCTTCAGATTAGCTGCCTTCAGTTTACTCAGAAGAATGCCAGAGACACAGGGGGAGTTGAGAGCATACTGTTTTAATTCCTAGAGTTTGGAGGATTGCATTTTCCATCCTTCCTATGGGATGCTAGCCTGGTCTACACACTAGGTGTCCTCATGCTGCTTCTGTCAACTAATGCTAATGGCAGCTATAGACTGGATGTCTTTGAGAGGTTCACTTGGGGGAAAATTTTTCCCTTCAAATATCAGTGAAATCAAGACTGTGCGAGGGATGGGTGTTCTTCTGTTTTAGTAGCTGGTCCGTTTGGCATGCACGTGGCGCTGTGGAAAGGGCTGCTCACATTTTGTAGGACATCTCAGTACACTCATTTTTGAGATCTAAAATTTATTTTAAAGTGAATAATTATTAAGTGTGGGGATTATAAAAATAATGTTATGATGGTAATGTTTTCTTTTAAAAATATAAAACTGAACACAAATAAAGGTAACTGTGTGCTTACTGCTATTTGAAAACTGTGAAAACAGTTCCTGTGGCCACAACCAAATGTCTCTCCTGTCCCCCGCCCTCCAGGGGCACCTTTGTGCAAATACACACACATCCCTGGTCCACTGAGAACCAGCTCCACATTGCCCCACTGGCCACAGTTTTTATTATACACTTGCGAACAGCTCTTAGGAATGTGATCATACATATACATTTCCCAGTTAAGATCGCATTTTTGAAAATAGAGATAAAAAGCAGTAACAAAAATAAGAGGAAGCGCATAGTCCAATAATGAGGAAAAATATAGTGGCTGCTACTGAGATTCAGACATTGTGCAGAATTCAGCTCTGAGGCCATTGGGTTGGGATAATGGGGAATCAGGTTAGCAACTAAAAATGAGACATACTTTGTGTTTTTTTTTCTTTAAACTGAGATATAATTATCCTCTTTATAAATGGATGAGGTAAACAAAACTAGATAGAAATTTACATTTATCATTGATTAAATAATTCTATATAAACATATCACACATGTATAGCAATATTTCTGTTTTTCATTTATGAATATATCATATATATTTTTGGTCATTAAACCAATACAATTTTATTTAATATTTACATTTTATTCTTTTCTCTGAGTTCATTATATACTGCAAAAGTTAAGTCATCTCAATGTAAGAAAGAGAGTTCCATCATCTTTATTATATAAAAAGAAAATATCATAGACGTGCGGAATTAAAAGAAAAGTTATCAAAGTCCGAGTAACCACAATGATGTAGTTGAAAGATTAATGAAATGTATTAATCGAAATCCAGCTGCTGAAACTGCATGCATTCTTTATAATTCACCTTGTTGGCAAGCAATTTCCCCTTTCAAAGTTTTAGAAGGGGAAAAAAGAAAAGAAAAAAAATTCTGACATCAAATGATTATTAATTTTTGCCATAGCAACCTATGAGCTGAAGCACTGTTTATTATTTAAAAAGCTATGAAATAGTTTTAATTATGTGCATAGTATAGAATAAAAATAGAATACAAGTGTATAGAATAAGAAGCTTAACTGGATTCTCCTGGGAAAGCATCTCAGTAACCTTGACCAGAGGCGAATTTAAACCCATCTGACAAGAGTATTTACAGACAGCCAACATAAACAGGGACACCAGCGATAGCTCCAGGGCAGGGTCCTGGGTCTTCACCCTGCAGCATTAGCCCTCTGGTTTCTTCACTGCTGGAAGGTCCAAGAACCTGCAGGCCGTATCTGGGGAGTTTGCTGGGCTCCAGGCAGTGGATATGCGCTAACTGGTATAAGAGTGTTTTATTATTTTAACGGCTGACAGAACTGTGCTGGTGCCCACTCCTGAGTACCAGCGCTGATCAAATGAGCACACCTCATGGTCCTGCAGCTTCCCCCTATTTAAAATGGCAGTGGTTGAGTTGGATACTCTCCAAGGTCACATCTATGTCTAATATTTGGATCCTCAGAGTCTAAGTATTTACATTACACTTAGTATTTACGTTGTCCTAAAACTTCACTTGATGAATGAGTGGGTCACGGGGACCCTTACTTCACTGGACCAGCAGGAGTACTGTGCTCACTGAATCCAGGTAAGACCAGAACATCTACAGCAGACAGGTATTGCAATTTTTTTTTTTTTTTTTGAGACGGAGTTTCGCTCTTTTTACCCAGGCTGGAGTGCAATGGCGCGATCTTGGCTCACCGCAACCTCTGCCTTCTGGGTTCAGGCAATTCTCCTGCCTCAGTCTCCTGGGATTACAGGCACACGCCACCATGCCCAGCTAATTTTTTGTATTTTTAGTAGAGACGGGGTTTCACCATGTTGACCAGGATGGTCTCGATCTCTTGACCTCGTGATCCACCTGCCTCAGCCTCCCAAAGTGCTGGGATTACAGGCGTGAGCCACCGCGCCCGGCCAGGTATTGCAATTTTACAGTAACTTGGTTGGGAAAGAATTAGATGATGTAAGCAAGGCAAAAAAGAAAAGTCAATAAAAGTAAAGAAAAAGAGAAATTAAAATAAGGTAGCAGAGAGGAAAAACAATTCTCCCAAACCTGCAGTCACTATTGCATTTTCTTCAGTAGATATTCCAATGCCCATAGAACATTTCAGAGTGAGTTAAAGTTAGAATTATGCCAGGATAAATAATATATGCAAGATGCATTAGAATTCTTTGTATAGCACTCCACATAAAATATTGCAGAATCCTATTAAGGTAATCGGACTGATAACTTGAATATTACGTACATAACACTAACAAAAAGAGCTCATGCTATTCCTCATTGGAAAAAAAAATGCTTAAATCACAGAAAAATCTTTAGTATAGACTGAGGCAAAATTAGTGTTGGTGCATGTGTGTGTGTGTGTGTGTGTGTGTGTGTGTGTCTGCATGCAAGCCTGTGTCTTTGTGTGTACTTGTGTATATGTATTTACATGTTTGTGTGTATATGTTTGAGTGTAATGTGTCTTTGTGTGCATACGTGTTTGCATGTGTATGTGCATATGTGTTAGTGTTTGTGTGTGTTTTTGTGAATTAACAAAACTTTTTAATTCTTAATTTCCTCACTATTTTTATAAGGGATTTTATTTTATAAACAGCAGCTTTTTATACATATGTAAACATAACAGCATTTGAGGAAGGGCCACATAATTACCAGCTTTGATGAGCAAAAGGTTTTTAAACATAAATCAGTTTGTTCTACTTTTAGGTTTATGCAGCTCTACATGTTGACCCATTTCAGAAATAATGCAACAGAGGAGGCACATTTGGACTAAGAATAATTACATTCTGAATTTTTGATATAATATTAACTTATGAACTTATCTTCCAGTTTGGTTGATAAAGACATTAAATCCCTTCAACACATCACGAAGGTACAGAGACTCTGCTGACAGAAATGGAAACCTCTATCCCTATAGGGTCAATGTGTTGTAAGGACCCAAATTTACTATGTAATTAAATGTACATCATAAGTGATGACTGAAGAGACATTTTTAAACAGCGTATATTGGAACAACTGAACGGAAATTTTAAAAACATCAATTTAAATATTTCCTCATACAAAATACCTGTTACATAAATTAAAATGTTTGAATGTACGAAATAATGGGTAACTTGCCACAATAAGATAAAACATACGGTTTCTAATTAAACATTAGTTCAACTAACAGAAATTGTGAACTTTAGTGAAGCAAAAGTAACATTATAAGTAAACCAGTCTACATGTTTACGTTTTTCAAAACAAATGTATAAAAATTAAAATAACACAAT